CTCAGGGGAAAATATCTAACTGTTTGGCAGACAAATACACAGAGGCAAATATGACGCAACCCCTTTTTTGCCTCCACCAAGGATTGAATAAAAGTAGGGAGATGCATTGCTCTGGGAGGAGGATTGAATACAGCCCCATATGACCCCCTCTGATGAAAGTTTCTCCCCCACAGTGCGGCACCAAATGTAACATAAGTCATTCAAAGTGCGACTCCGAATGGAGACAAAATGCGTGGCGCATCTCAAAAAGGCATAGATCAACAACATGTTTCATTTATCCTTACCCCATTCGGTACAAATCGGTGATGCCTTCACAAAAGCTTATTCATTTTTTGGACCTACATCTCACTTCACAGCAAAAAATGTGTGAAGTAGCTTAGTTCGGAAGATATGAAGGGAAACGTAAGGCTTTGCGAAGGCCGCGATAATTCGTTTGATTGGCTTGCTTTCGAGAAGCAGAAGGATAAGCCGACTTTTTTGACGAATATTTGCGATTTTTTCCGCGATTTCATAAAAAAAAGCATATTTATAAAGAAAAAAGGAAGAGAGCACATAAACGGACCACAAATATAATGGTCATAAGGTAAAAATGGATTAGGTACGTAGTTCAAATGGAAATGGAAAAGCATATAGCTTACCATGAGTAGAAGTCAGATGAATGGCATGACTGGTATGAGTGAAAATGAGGGATATGGACGGGCAGAAAGGCGGACGAAATGGTGACAAGATGTGAGAACAAGAACATCATGCAGCAAATGTGGTCATAAAAGTTTATGAGTGAACTAGCAAAAACGAGTACCCTACCAGCTGAGAAGAAAGAGGGGGCAGGAGAGCGAAAATAGATTGGTTCATGATGAGAACGGGTTTTCTAAGTACCCAATTATTTCTGCGATTCCGACGAAATACATTAAACGGGCACATTTTTGTAAAATGGTAGCTAAAAACAACTCACGAGGAAATTTTCTTGGAACATGAATAAAGATAAAGAGCACAAAGATGACGACGTAAGATACAAAAAAGTGGGTGTTAGCCAGCGACCACGGCAACGTCAAGTAACGTCAACTATGGGCAAATTTTGGAGATGGTATGAAATTGCCGACACTGGAAAATAACAGGTGTACGCCATGCAGTGGAATTCCCCTCAGAATCGTCGAACCAAATGAAATCCGTATTTGACCCGTACTCAAATATGCGGTGCCCAGCCGATTTTTTTCCAAAAAAAAAACTTCCATAATAATGGACGTCAATGGGTCGTTCTTAAACAGCATCGTGGGTTTAGAACTGTGACTTTGGCGTGACTGCTTCAAATCTGAGAACGGGCTCACAGCGTGGGCGGTGTCTAGTGAGACTGAGAACACGAATTATCTAGGCCTCAGAACTGAAAGCATGGCTCCGCTGGCATGCAAACTTCAAGCACTGTAGCTCCAGTAATGAGGAAGCACAAGTTTTAAATAATGGTTTCTTGTTTAAAGAGCCAGGAGACTTGGGCCAGTTCAGCCCGGGAGGATGTAGGCGGCGAATTGAGTACCAACGGGTTGGGAATCTCTGATGGGCCCAAAGAATACCAAACGAATGCCTTGGTGAGCCTTGGTTATCGAAGAAGATTCAAACGCATGGCGTACCCCAGGAGACTTGCTTAACGCTTGCCAATTTCAGTTTGTTTAGGAACTGAGAAAAGACGGACTTGAGAAATAAGGACGAAGGAAGAGCAACCCTAGGGAGGAGATCGGTGTACATGAATTTTTTGAACTTCCTAGCCGGGCTACGAACGGACAAGCGACCCTCAGGGACCAAGCGGGTATCAAAATAACTCGTTGGAACTTCTAGAATGATGACCCCAGCAAGCCCTCGTCTGAGAGCAAGTGGCCAAACACGGAGGGGTTTTTTTTTTTTACGCACCGCGCACTCACACACCTGAAATCGGCCCACATCTTGAAAAATTTATAAAAAAATAACCGTAATTCAGTCGGGTTAGTTTTGAGGCCAGCGCCTTGGCGAAAAGTGGAAGAGATTCCGAAGAAAAACTTATTAAAGAGAAATTTTATCTCTATCAATTCGCACCTACGCGTGCATATGAATAAATAAATAATATAATAAATAAATAAATAAAAACGGGAAAGATTAGCAGAAAAGAGAATAGGAGCGATGGGAGATGCATAACCCTGAGAGCGGTTGCGATGGATGGATGCAGGGAGGAAGCCCAGAAGAGCCAAGATCTTTCAAGAGGGAAGCTGATCATAAGGCTGACCGGATGGTACCAAGGAAACAAATTTGCTTCACATTCTTATTTATGCCGTCATCTCCAACTATCAATAAGGTAAACAACAAATAAATAAAACAATAATAAAAATACTACTCACATTCATATTCCTATCGTAGGACTGCAGAGTGTTACTTTCGGGAAACTTCATATAGACGATCATCGGCAAATGAGCATGGGTTTTCTGTAATGTTAGGGTTAAATGGAGAAAGTCCGCAAATTCAGAATCGAGGGCGGTTTTCTAAAAACCACGTTCGCGTAAGCGCGGCACACGCGAAAACAGTTATGTCACCACGAAAAACCGGAAGTTGACGTCATCGCGATGATTTCCATGTGCAATCAACGCGTGCACAGCTGGTGTGTGTGAAATGGTTTCATCATTTGGCATACGACAGGAAATGACGACGACTTTTTGGCCAGCTGTTCGACCCGACCCCACCCCCAACTCGTCATACGACGAACAGCGCGGACAATAGATAACAGGGAAATAATATTTATTTTGTGGCCAGGTCGGGACGAATTGTCCTTATTATCTACCGACAGGAGAACAGCGTTGCTGTTGCAGCCATTTACATTGGGAGAGCCTCACCGGAACGTATTTTATTATAAAAAAATAACAATTTTTGGGAATTCATCGCTGATGTGGATTGTTTGGAAGTGGACGAATTTAGATATAACAAGGTTATGGCGCTCGGTTTTCAATGGAGGGTGGGGGGGGGGGAGAAGGGGACCTTGCTCATAGTTCGGGAGGGGTGTGCGTCATATGGCGCGATCCCATTGGCATTGGAGCGCACAGGCCGTAATTACCACATCCTGCTGTGGCCGGACAACTCGTCCGCGCAACACATTCTGTTCCGTTCCTCTTGCCTTGGCATCAGGCCAACACAAGCTATCCCTCTTTTTTAGATCTTTGAGATTCAACGAGATTTAGAGACCCAACTTAACAGTCGATCATTTGCTGAATTCAAGCAGTTAAGTGATACGGACGAGTTGTCCGGCAGCAGAATCCGGCAATTAAGGCCTGTGAGCTCAAATGCCAATGTGATCGTGCCATATTACTTCCTCCCTCCGGAAGGGGTGTATGTCAACAGAATCGTCCAGATCCCCGCGCTATTGATCGTGGCCGCGACGTCGCAATTGCAGTGGACGAGTTTCTGTGAGCGTCATTTGAATTTGAATGTTACAGGGACGCCAAGCAGGCCCGTCCCTTTAATATTCAACTTCGATCAAGTGCTCCAACCGTCTATTCAACATCCTCATCAGCAGAAAAGTGCTGGCCGTCGATCGGCCACAGGCCACTAATAACACACACACCGCCAACCCCGAAGCCGCGAAAAGTGCCAAAACGGCAGGCCGACGACTCGTTATCAATATCGTTGGCCTTGTCTATCTTGCGATCAAATTCATCAGTACTGGATGCTGTATCGCGTTTGAAATGAAGTAGGTAAACAAGAACGAAGTGGATAAGTTGTACCTTTTAGGGTTGGGGATTGTACCGAGACACACATTCCGAGACACTACTGGACGGTGGTGAATAGTCGAAAACGAGGCGCATAAGGGATGGCGAGACGCAGACACCAAAGATCACACTATATTTCCGGCGTGCATCATCCGTCGCGTACATCTAAGGCATAATAGCCCTTCTAATACTTGTGCTACAAAGCTAACGAGTACAGAACTTATCCTTCTATTATATAAAGCGCTAACTTTGTGTGTCGGTTTGTGTATCTGTATGTGTGTGTGTGTGCGTGTGTGTGTGTGTGTGTATGTATGTGTGTCCGTCCGCAAAATGAAGTGAGTGAGAAGGAAGCTCATGGGATAAACAAACCGCTAACAAATCGGGTAGCTTACAGGATTTGAGATATCAATGTTTTGTAGCAGGATAGTTGTGATAACACTCTTAGGGCTATATAAACACCTGCTTAGCACACTTCCGTTCATTCCACATGGTGCTGCAGTGGCAGCTGGAGGGCAGTGGAGAGAGGAAGGGAGGATGAGGAAGGGAAGCGAAAAATCTACCGTCATATCATGATTGTGTCCCTTCTACTGTATGAAACACCATTGTGTTGCATACGCGTCACTTCCAGGAGGTGTTGGTGTCACAGGAGGAAGGGACCATAGCGGAGGATAGAAAGCTTGCGCAGGAAAGGAAGGTCCCGGCGGTTGACGGGGGACTAATCTGGTAATATAAAATTTAACAACAATCACCTTCACCCGTCTAGTTATGAACGACTTATTCCAAAGAATACATGTGGATGCGTTCCAAATAGTTCTGCACTTAACTGTGAGAAATCTCTCAGTTGAAGATAACCTGTCAAGAAGGGGCAATCAAGAGGCAGGGAATCTAGAAACCAGAAAATCACCGCCTCATGTGATGCCATTGAGTCCTCTCTCAGGACTCGGATGAACGTCTTTGTAAGGTTACTGATCTTGGGAGGTTCACCACGAGAGAACAAAGTACTGCCCACAGTGGCTGCGTTTGAGATGCTTATGAGCGTTGGCGGTAGGTTTGATGGAGAGGTTAATTAGGCGGTTGGTCCGCGATAGGGGCGCTCTTCGTTGGGTAGAGCAGATGCCTTTGGATCATGTTGAATCTGCAAAGTGGAAAAAGGAACTCCACGTTTGTTAGCAAGGGGTGGGGTACATCGGTTACTCACATTTCTATGACTTGTAAAATAAACGCCATCACCTCCGTGAATGGGGGTCGAGTGGAGTGGGCTCGAGAATTGCTTAACTACAAACCACGTTAGCTTACTGGGGAGTATAGCCTTGTTGGCCTATATTAGTCAAAGAGGATAGTCCACTTGTAAAGTAAGGTTCGGGCAAGGTGCAAAGAAAACATGGTGCTGTTTTAAAGTGATCAGCTGTGTGGGAGATAACAAGCAAATGAGTCGAGAGATTCAGATAAAGCAAGAAGAAAGAAGCCATTTTCAGCGTCCTAGCTGGCACATAGGAAACACAATCTCCTCGTGGGAGAACGACTTTGGGAAAAGGCTACCCGCCAGAAAAACCACCTTTTCCAATTCATTTTCTAGGCCATAATATATCGACTTCGTTGCCATTTCACATTAAGCCAAACATATCTAACGATAAATTCTCTGTATTCTACCTAATATGAAGAAAGCCATGGAAAGAGACTGTGGGTGAAAATTTTTCAGTGATTTATTGATTTCATAAGGCCATCTGACGCGAACAGCACCTTTTTAATGGAGCTATTGTTAGGAATGACATCATTTCAGTCGAATGACGAAAGGAGAAAAACTCGTAAGCAATAATGATTTTCCAATGCAAAGCGCTTTCCCCTATATAAGTAGACGGCAATGCAATTTCAGCAGAACTGCAGCTATTTTTGCAGCGAGCAGTCACTCACTCACCTTAAGGGCGTCGATGATGTGATATTCAGAATCGGGGGCGATGTACGTCATCAAGATGTTGTACGATTGGTTCATACTTTCGCGTACACCTGAAAAAATCAATATCTTACTTTTTATCATTGCGCTGGTTACCTACATTTTTTTATTCTTGGTAGACTTGTATCAATGAGAATACAGCATCTCGTTTACAGCGTGCCGTCATACTTGGCGTGAGCAAACTAGGCGTCCAGTATTTCTATGGTTATTGATTGATAGAGCGGAAAGCGATCAACTATGGTGTATATGAGGACAATAAACACCGATCACAGGTAAGTGGAGTGTGTTAGGCAGTGTCTCTTAAATGGCCCGTCGCTGGTAAAGGTATTGAGCAAGTGGCGTCGCGCTACCGCACCTAACTGATTAGAGAACGGGATACAACAGAGCAGGGTACCCGACAGAAGGCCCGTTGCGCGACGAGAAGGCAAAGGCGCAGACGGGCCCTCTGATTTAGCGTCAGTTTGAGTAGAATGTTTATAGCATGCCTCAGGGAGGCAATTGTGTAGTGAGTCCTGTAGTGTACGTCTCACACCGCACAGTACGCGCTCAACTCGTCCGCTGAAACGCTGCTCTCTGCCTTCTCGCCGCGCTACGGGTCTCCTTTCGAGCACCAAACACAACACAGCCTCTGACAACCACTCGGAAAAGACCCCAGCGATTTTGACCCCATTCTGGTCGAATTTTTTGCGTAGCACGCCACTTAGCCTGCCTTCGAAATGCATTAGAAATGAGTAACCAATAGGCAGACCACCACCAATTTCATTACTAGTAATGAGTGACTAGCGAGTACATGTACGCATCTCTAGAAGCCGCAGGTTCGACTCTTGCCAAGGCTCATCTGCGCCCTGCAGAGGTCGGAATCTCTGTTAGCTTTGCTAGAAGTAGGGTTTCCATTGTGTAACAAGGCTCTGCCAGCTTTATTGCTTAATCTTGCATTATCATTTCAATCCCCTAATTTCTCCATTGCTGTTGAACTTTCACAGATAGGGATTCCCCGTTCACATAAGAGGCCTTTGAAGTATAGAAGAATCTCATGTAACTTACCAATATGGTAACACAAACTGGGTTGTTGCTGTTGCACTGTAACGTCAACCAGTGCGACATCGGCATTGTAGAACGTGTCGAGCGCATTCGCCTCTCCAAAATCCAACCGATCGAAATCGATTTGCTGCAAGGAAAATCGGTAGCCTCGGAAAATGGTTTTCTGAAGACAATACTCCATAAAATTGATGTTCGTGAAAGAGAAGGATGGGTAGTAAAGAGGGTAGAGGAGGGTCAAACTTGAATGATATGTGGTGCTTTCGTGGCAGAAAATGCCCCATCAACGGAGCCATAAGGTGCAAATAAGGGTCCAACAGGTCCCAGACATGCCGTACCTCACAGATGTTCCATTATTTTCTTCTTAGGAGTGCATTCGGCTTCACAATCATGAATGATTCTTCTGCGCAGTACAAGTACAGCTCATTACAATAACGATAAGATATGAAGTAACGGTGCTGAGGAAGTTGGGGGAAGTAAGCAAACCAGCCCTTTTGGCGTTTCTGCTGGGGCCGTATGCTGAATGTTGGGGAGGGGATGGGGTCCCCGACGGTCGACGGACTACTTCAACTCGGTCCTTAAAAAACCGCCTCAATTTGATGCTTACCTCAGGACTAAGCCTTAAAGAGAGGACGGACCTGCGAGAGA